AAAAATTCACCCACCATAACACCTATCCAACTACTATAAGAGCTTAAATCGAGATAGCAACGAGGAAAGATCATCAGACCAATTGCCATGAAAATATTTCTAGAATAGCCAGAGGTCAATTACAGTTACAGTTCTAGGAAGCGGATTAAGGATGGAAACAATAATATTGCAATATCTTCTTTCGAATTTTGTCCAGAATTTCAATATATATATATCACAACAATATTTAAAGCCAAGGTGAATGGTAGACTAATAAAATCGCAAGATAAATTCGGGCAAAAAAAAAAATGCCTATGTCGTTTCACTGAAGCAACTTTCTTAGCGGGAAACGTAGCAGTTTATTCGAGATAATCGTTCCAATTCATAGCAGCGGAACACGTGAAACAAAGAAATCCATAAGTGTTACGCCTCTGGAGATTACCGTCAGATGTGCTGATGGGAAGCAAAAAAAGAAGATTAAAAGAGAGCATCTGTCTATATTTCTGAGATGAGGTATTATTTACACTATTTACATTATTCAGACTATTGTCATCATCTTTGTCGACATATTTATTACAACGTTTAGGCCTTTCAGTATCTGTCTATTTTTGAGATGAGATGAGGTATTTACACTATTTACATTATTCAGACTATTGTCATCATCTTTGTCGACATATTTATTACAACGTTTAGGCCTTTCAGTATCTGTCTATATTTCTGAGATGAGGTATTATTTACACTATTTACATTATTCAGACTATTGTCCTCATCTTTGTCGACATATTTATTACAACGTTTCGGCCTTTCAGTATCTGTCTATATTTCTGAGATGAGGTATTATTTACACTATTTACATTATTCAGACTATTGTCCTCATCTTTGTCGACATATTTATTACAACGTTTCGGCCTTTCAGTATCTGTCTATATTTCTGAGATGAGGTATTATTTACACTATTTACATTATTCAGACTATTGTCCTCATCTTTGTCGACATATTTATTACAACGTTTCGGCCTTTCAGTATCTGTCTATATTTCTGAGATGAGGTATTATGTACACTATTTACATTATTCAGACTATTGTCCTCATCTTTGTCGACATATTTATTACAACGTTTCGGCCTTTCAGTATCTGTCTATATTTCTGAGATGAGGTATTATTTACACTATTTACATTATTCAGACTATTGTCCTCATCTTTGTCGACATATTTATTACAACGTTTCGGCCTTTCAGTATCTGTCTATATTTCTGAGATGAGGTATTATTTACACTATTTACATTATTCAGACTATTGTCCTCATCTTTGTCGACATATTTATTACAACGTTTCGGCCTTTCAGTATCTGTCTATATTTCTGAGATGAGGTATTATTTACACTATTTACATTATTCAGACTATTGTCCTCATCTTTGTCGACATATTTATTACAACGTTTCGGCCTTTCAGTATCTGTCTATATTTCTGAGATGAGGTATTATTTACACTATTTACATTATTCAGACTATTGTCCTCATCTTTGTCGACATATTTATTACAACGTTTCGGCCTTTCAGTATCTGTCTATATTTCTGAGATGAGGTATTATTTACACTATTTACATTATTCAGACTATTGTCCTCATCTTTGTCGACATATTTATTACAACGTTTCGGCCTTTCAGTATCTGTCTATATTTCTGAAATGAGGTATTATTACACTATTTACATTATTCAGACTATTGTCCTCATCTTTGTCGACATATTTATTACAACGTTTCGGCCTTTCAGTATCTGTCTATATTTCTGAGATGAGGTATTATTTACACTATTTACATTATTCAGACTATTGTCCTCATCTTTGTCGACATATTTATTACAACGTTTCGGCCTTTCAGTATCTGTCTATATTTCTGAGATGAGGTATTATTTACACTATTTACATTATTCAGACTATTGTCCTCATCTTTGTCGACATATTTATTACAACGTTTCGGCCTTTCAGTATCTGTCTATATTTCTGAGATGAGGTATTATTTACACTATTTACATTATTCAGACTATTGTCCTCATCTTTGTCGACATATTTATTACAACGTTTCGGCCTTTCAGTATCTGTCTATATTTCTGAGATGAGGTATTAAGTACACTATTTACATTACTTTGTCACAACATTTCGGTCCTTCAGTATCTGTCTATATTTCTGGGATGAGGTATTAAGTACAGTATTTACATTATTCGGACTATTATCCTCATCTTTGTCGCCATATTTATCACAATATTTCGGCCCTTCAGTATCTGTCTATATTTCTGAGATGAGGTATTATGTAGAGTATTTACATTATTCGGACTATTGCCCTCATCTTTGTCGCCATATTTATCACAACATTTCGGCCCTTCAGTATCTGTCTATATTTCTGGGATGAGGTATTATGTACACTATTTACATTATTCGGACTATTATCCTCATCTTTGTCGCCATATTTATCACAATATTTCGGCCCTTCAGTATCTGTCTATATTTCTGAGATGAGGTACTATGTACAGTATTTACATTATTCGCACTATTGTCCTCATCTTTGTCGCCATATTTATTTGTTTATCAGTTATCAGTTATCTCCTGTTAATTAACCTCTCCAAGTTTTCCATAATTTTAGAACACATGGCACAGTGGATAAATGCGTTATTTAGATCCAGTGACAGGACCCAAATAGTGTGAGTTCAATACCCGGTTAAGGCAGTGGAGAACTTGAAGAGGTGAATTAACAGGAGTTAACTTATAAGTAATAAATAATTAAACATGGTACGTGGAACTAGAACAGAGTACCCCAGTGAGCGAAATAAAGGGTTCAGTTCGACATTCCAACTACCAATTACCGGCAGAAACGTTGTAATAAATATGGCGACAAAGATGAGGACAATAGTCAGAATAATGTATATAGTGTAAAAAAGAGCACTTTAGTTTTGGAAGCGTTACAAATAAACTATTTCTGGCCCAAGTTAGAAACCATTGACCATCATTTCTTAGGTTAACTGCCAATTTGAAGTTATTGAAGCTATCAGAGAGGAGTAAATAGTTTGGTCTTCAGCATTGGGTAATAATTGCAGGATGTTTCTGAGGAAGGTTTTTTGGCGCATCTAGAACTGTCTCAAAGACACTAGAATCGAGATTAGGTGAGGTAGAAATCAGAAGAATTACCGAAAACGTAGAGACTACGGTGAGCCTACTCTCCACAGTCATATTGAAATCTTACTACCATTCTGGTTCCAGAGAGAATGACGAGGCATCTGGTTTTACTATACAAACGTTTACAATTGTTTTTGTTGTTAGTGTTGTTATTATTATTATTATTATTTTTATTATTGCCCCGTACCAGAGTGTTCAGAACGTTCGCATTCTGACCATGAGACCCGGGTTCGAATCTCACCATGGTCGATTGGTCATGAAGGAGACTTTCTGGCGTTATCGGACTAGCGGGGTAAATCGCAGCGTGCGACACCTTTGTAAAGTGCCTGAAAACTATACCACAGGTACTTGTGAATAAAGTTGGGTAGACGGAAGCCTTCGATAGCTACGCTAGCACGAAGTCACAAGTCATCGTGGCCGAGAACTTGCTCAAATTATTGATCACCCTTGATAACACGCACTTTTCCAGAAACTGTAAGTAAGGTCTGCTCAGCATAGTTGCAGATTAAACTGCAGGTGGGCCCTGTAGATGTTGAATAAACAGAAATGCGCCTGAGCAAACGTCTGCAATAGGGATTGACTAGTCGCCCTAGTAGACGGGTATCCTCGAATTTCAATGGCCAGATATATTATTATTATTATTATTATTATTAGGAGGAGGAGGAGGAGGAGAAGAAGAAGAAGAAGAAGAAGAAGAAGAAGAAGAAGGAGAAGAAGATGAAAAAAAAGAACTAATGTAGTATCAAAAGGATGTTTTTCCCTTGACACCGCTATTATTTTAACTACCTTCACTCCTCAGCGATGTTTGTTTTAAAAAGTGATTATTAGAATTGTACTAAAAACTAAAAATATGAATGAAAATAAAAAAAAGAAAAATTCTTTTCTTGAGAAAATGCAAAAAATATTTCCCCAAGAGAACATGGCGAAAACCACTATCAAGAAGGAAGAACAATGAAAATGAATTAAGAAGACAGAAAATAGCGATTGACATTGCATTTCAAATTTTGCAGATCAAATTTGACCAGGAGGCAAGAAGTCTGAAGTGAATTCCACAACAGAGAAGTGCGAGAGAAGAAACAGTTAGCATAGAACTTACGGTTACATCTAGGCGTTTCAAATGTAAAATGATCTGCATTTGCTGTCAATCGAATTCTGCACTTAAATTCGTAACATCTACATACAGAGTGAAAAGTACTGCTTTCCTGTTAGAAGTTGTGTCTGGATAGTTGTGGGGATTAAAGTTTAGTTGTCGAACTGGACGTTGATTCAAGTTGATTCTGTAAATTGTTTAGTAAAAGAGAAGAGAAGGATTTATTGTCTCGTCTTTTATTACTTCTGAGCAAATCCACCTAGCAGGTGTCTAAGAAAATATAAATAATCCTGAAGATTAAAATACAAATGTCGGAATCAAAATAAAAGTTATTTTTAAAATAACTATTTTCTAATATTGATAATAATTAAATTTATTAATCACATTTGTAATAATTTAGCCATAAACAAGTTTTAATTTCAATTCGATGATGAATAATACAATTGTTTTTGACCAAAATATTATTTTGAAGCCTTTATCTTCCTTAGTCTTTCTCTTTTCATTGATCGCTTCTGAGATCTCTGCTTTTCAGTGCTTAATTTTCTGTTATTCTTTTATTCGTTAAGTTGTTTCCTTTCTCTCTTTTCTTCCTCGTGTTATCTTCTACTTCCAATCTCCCTCCCTGTTGATACCGCTTGTTCTCTCTCTCTTAATCTCTATCTATTCTAATCTCATCTGCTGCTCTCTCTTATTCACTCTTTATGAAGGAGTTTTAATCCAGAAGAAGATCTGGAGTTCGATAACAATATTTCCGGAAGACGCCATTATGAAACAGACAACTGAAAAAAAGTTAGATAGATAGATAGATAGATAGATAGATAGATAGATAGATAGATAGATATTAACAGTCTGTGATAGATAGATAGATAGATAGATAGATAGATAGATAGATAGATAGATAGATAGATAGATATTAACAGTCTGTGATTGATAGATAGATAGATAGATAGATAGATAGATAGATAGATATTAACAGTCTGTGATAGATAGATAGATAGATAGATAGATAGATAGATAGATAGATAGATAGATATTAACAGTCTGTGATAGATAGATAGATAGATAGATATTAACAGTCTGTGATAGATAGATAGATAGATAGATAGATAGATAGATAGATAGATATTAACAGTCTGTGATAGATAGATAGATAGATAGATAGATATAAACAGTCTGTGATAGATAGATAGATAGATAGATAGATAGATAGATAGATAGATAGATAGATAGATAATGAACAGGCTGGGATAGATAATGAACAGAGATAGATAGAAAGATAATGAATAAATTAAGAGATAGTCATAGATACATAGATAGATGAATATGAACAAAGATAGATGGATAAATAGATAGATATAAATAATTAACTGTCATAGATATATATGAACAAATAGAGATAGATAGATAAATTAAGAGATAGCCAAGATACATAGATACATATGAACACATATAGATAGATAGATAGATAGATAGATAGATAGATAGATAGATATGAAAAAGATAGATATAAAAAATTAACCGTCATAGATACATATGAATAAACATAGATAGATAGATAGATAGATAGATAATGAACAGATTCGGATATATAGATAAATAGATAGATATATGTAAACAGATGAGATAGATAGATAGATAGATAGATAGATAGATAGATAGATAGATACGAAGAAACGCAGATAGTTGTGAACAAATTAAGGTATAAAGTCATAGATATATAGTTAGATTTATAAAAAGAAATAAGATGCAAATTTCTGGATATAAATAAACAGGCATTCACTAAGATAAACAGATGGACAGACAAAGTCAACGTGTTGACGATAATTGAATAATTTTCGCCATAAAAGTTAATGATACGTTGTAACTAATCATTGAGAGAAAATAATCAATTTTCGAAATGATGGCGTATTTTGCTAAGAAAAAAATAAAAATAAATAAATAAAATGAAATAGGAAAAAAATTTAAAGCTTGAATGATGAATCTCCTGAGAAAGTGTGATCTTTGTGTGTGCGTTTACACACACACACACACACACACACACACACGCACACAGACACATTTACACACACACTTACACACACACATTTACACACACACAAAACACACACACACACCTACACACACATTTACTCACGCACACCCACAACACACACGCACATTTACACACGCACACCCACAGACACACAACACACACAACACACACACACACACTCACACACACACACACACACACACACACACATATATATATATATATATATATATATATATATATATATATATATATATATGTTGTTTGCATATATGTTGAGATAATATTATATATGCACGAAGACACACACACACATATATATGTTAGTTGATGGAGAAAGTATTTATTTTTCACAATCAATGTAAATATTTCGAATTAATTCCTTGTCAATGCACATCACTTTTTTTAATCATATTAAGCCAGATAAGGCAGTAGAGCCACTAAGACGCAAGGGGTTACTGAGTGTGAAAGAATTAAAAAAACAGAGAAACATTATTATGACGCGGGAACGATAAAGGAAGAGTAATCAAGAAGACAATTGATAACGATTGACATTGCATCTGAAATATTAAGCGTAAAGCCGGAAGAGAGTTCCACAAGTGAAAAGTGCACGGATGGTTATATCTCGTCAATTCAACTGAGACCTAGCCGCCAATCTAGTACCAGAGTGTAGGTTCTATTTGCCCAAGTTTCCCCACTGAGGCGGGATGCGACACAAGATAGGGTATAATTTGGTGAACCCGACTCGGTACACTCAGGCCAAGGACAAACTGAATTGTGCTTGGCATCTCTATGACTACAGATCCCCCAGCTCTCTCAGGTAGCACACAGTTTCGAACATGTAAGTATTCGTAGAAATAGCAGTGGCCAGTGAATTAGATAGATCAAATATTATACAAATTTATCTAAAATTCAATGGCACATGGCCTGAGATATGTTCATAGATAGATATAGGTAAATATATATTGATGTGAGGTGAGTGTAAATTGTAGCCACTGGGTATTAATATTTGTAGCGGCTGTATCTACAATAATATACCAAGATACATGCCAGCTTTTATAGAGGGAGTGTGGTAACTCACGAGCGCTCAAAACGACAGCATTTAAAGAGATTGGAAAAGTCCAACTGAATAAATCTTGACCAGGCATGTTGACTTCATTCACTTTAACACCGACCTAATGTGCCTTCATTCGACAAATATTTTCCTGGCTACTGCTGTGGCAAGCTTTTTTCCCTGTTGCCTTAACTACATGAATTTAAGCGTGCTACTAGATTGGCAACTAGGTCCCACCCTTTTTCCTGTTGAAATGCAACCGCCTCTACTACTTCAACAGTTTCTTTTCTCGCACTTCCAGCTTGTGGATCTCACTACCTTTTCCATGCTTCTCTGTTAAATATAATCTACAAAAATGTAAATGCAACGTCAATCGCCGTCTTCTGTCTTCTTGAAACCCGATCGTAGGTTTTCATTTCCTCAGTTCCCTCTATAATCAGTTTTTTATTTCATTCTATCTCCGTGTAACCCACTGCTTACTAGTGGCATTCCCACCTTGGTTGGTGTGAAATTTTAAGAAAATATTTAACACACACACACACACACACACACATATATATATATATATATATATATATATATATATATATATATATATATATATATATATATATATATATATATATATATATATATATATATATATAATAAAAAAGGCTTAAAAGGGTCATAATTTATTCCATTGGAATCGTAAATACCCTCCAATTCATGAGATCTACACATTCCAAAAAATTTTTTTGAATTTATAGCTCTGGTTTATTTCATTGGAATCGTAAATACGATCCAATTCATCAGAATTACAAATTCAAAAAGAAAACAGAAAAAAACAACTCCGGGAATAAAAAATAAAATTTAGTGAGAGTGTATGTATGAGAGCGTGGGACGAATGTTAGAGTAAATGAAAGCTATAGAGAGGGGTAACAGAAGAGAGAAGAACAGGAAGGTCTAAAGATGAAGTGGGGATTAAAATTTAACAGAGAGAAGTTTTAGAGAGGGGAGTCAAAGACGGTTTAATGAGAGAAATATGAATGTTGTCGGATGTAACCGGAAAGGATACATTTTGTGGTGACATACACACACAATAGACGATTTAATCTTAAAGATCAGAAGATGAAAGAGGGAGAGGAAACGAAAAGAAAAGGAAAAGGAGTGGGGTGAGAGAGATGGGATGGGGAAACTAAAACCGTGTCATCAAGAAAATTTGACAAAAGTAATATCGACTACAGGTTACAAATCAAATATAAACATAGAAAAAGCAGTCCCGTCTCTCTCTCTCTCTCTCTCTCTCTCTCTCTATATATATATATATATATATATATATATATATAATTCCAAAGCAATTGTTTTATGATGATCTGCTAACAAATAAGAGAAATACTGTCAAGGCTAAGTTGCACTTTAAGGACTGCATCAATTATCCGCTGAAGAAATGTAGTATCCTTTGTAGATGAGAAGTGGAGGCACGGAAAGCTTGAAAGAAATGTGCGTAAAGGCGTCCCCGTTAAAATTCCTGAAGACATCCACAAGCAGCTCAACTTGATTTCTACAGATTGAGATAGAGTGTGTCTGTCAATGGCTGGTGTAAAGTGTCCCCTGAGACCGCAACGACGAAGGGTGTCAATTGACTATACACTGCGTGCCAAATTATTATCAGAAGGGCCATTGTTTTTATGCACAATAATGCTCTCTCACATGCTGCTCACAAGACTACTGAATATTTGAAACAGTTAGGCTTCGATGGACCTCGAAAAATGAAGTGGCCAGCAAATTCTCCGGATTTGAATCCAAGCGAAAATCTTTGGAGCATCATGAAGCGAAGACTGTACGCCAACGGACGACAATTCAGGAGCAACGCTGAGTTGTGGGAAGCAATTCTTGACATATCTCGCGGCATTACAGCAGATGACATCCTACAATTAATAAATTCTATGGATCGTTGACTTTTTCAAGTAATTTCAAAACAGGGAAAGCACATTCCCTATTAATTTGTTTAAAACTGTGCCTTTGTTTGTAACTGTTATTATTTGTTTGATTATCTTATTTATTAGCGTCTTTTGATCATAAACATTCACGTGCAACATTAATAAACGTTTTGTTTGCTAAATTCTGGGAATTTTATTAAACCTTTCTAATAATTTGGCACGCTCAAATCACCGTGCTAATAACAAATATGGCGCCAGTTTGTTTACATTGCGCAGATCAGTAGGAAAATTTCAGTGATCGCGCAAGTCAGGGTTGCCAACATTGTGTGAATTGATTGGACGGTTTTTGAAATATTAGAAAAAATGCTATCTTGATAATAATTTGGCACGCAGTGTAAAGCCGTAGATGTGCAGCAATTGAAATGTGATATTTGCGGTAAGACATGCATTTTAAATTGTATGATAATATAACACCATCTGTAGCAGTTTGTGTTCTTTTTGTGCCAGAGTATTTAGGTCCCTTTCAATAAGGTTAATCGAGCTGATCTCTGGAAGATCTTAGGAAAGCTTAGATCTTAGTCCTGCAAAGTTCATAGAAGTTTTGCATCACTTTCATGATAACATGGGTAAATGGTGATGGTATGCTTTGAAAGCCAAAACCCGGAGAGAATGGTGTCAAGCAGGGAAACATTCCCACTCATACTAGTTTTGCCATATACTTTTCAATATTGCCTTTCAAGGATTGATCTCATTTGGTATCGCAGGTCAGAAAAAATGTTTAATGTGCGACATATAGCTGCCGACACAAAGGTGCAAAATGCCCTGATTCGAAAATTCCTGAACGTTGACGACTGTGATTTATTTGCTCATTCTGAGAGGGATATGCAGCATTTGATTAATTTTTTAACTCATGAACGCACGGCTCTGGGACTGACAATAAGTTTGGATAAGACCGTTGACATGTATCAACCTGCCCTTGATAAATAATATGTTGATTATTCTGTATATTTTTATGGGCAAATGTTGAAGATTGCAGATAAGTTTGTGTACTTAGGCAGCATTTTGAACAACTCGTGCAACCCCGACGATGAATCCTTGCGAATTGGCATAGCTAGCGCTTCCTTTGGCAAAATGAACGATCATTTTAAACGCGACGGCATATCTCTAACGCAAAAGGTAATGTATGTAAAAGCTGCTTGCTATCCAGGCTTCTCTATGTTTGTAAGACATGGATAACATATAGGAGGCACCTGAAGATGTTTAAACATTTTCACCAACAGTGTCTATGAAAGAATATCGGAATTTGAAGGCAGAGGCTCATTAGTGATGTTGACGTTTTTGATAAGTGTAGGTGCATGAGCAGTGAAAGCATCATCCTGCAACATCTTCTCAGCTGGTGTTGTTATACGTTGAGAATGAAAGATCAGCGACTTCCGAAACATCTTTTCTATGGAGAGTTGTCTGAGTGGAATCGTTCACAACGCAAATTTAAATGAGGTTCGAATATTACCTGAAGCAAATACTGTCAAATGCAAACACTGCACTTGAGGCTTTGGAGAATGCTACTTTCGATCGTGGCAGCTGAAGGCGTTCCTTGAAAGCAGGTGCAAGTGCATTTGAAAATCAGAAGAAGCATCAGCAGTTGAAAAGAGATCTTAGAAAAAGCAAAAGTTGTTGAACTCCCGGTGTTGAATGTGATCTCA